ACTATAGCTGAAGTGTCATTTCAGCAAATGACACTTCAGTTACAGCACATATACCTTTTTTCAGAACACCCCTCATTTCAGAAAATAATAAAACATAATCACACACTGAGGAAACACAGAGATTAAAAATAGCATAGATGTACAAATTTAAATCTACAGGTAGCAGTTTTTTTCTATTAAAATACCCCTTTAATGAGAAAATCTTTTATGCTATCTTTTAAAATTATTTATCATGACTCCCTAGTGATGGATTCTGGAAATGTTCTTTCATAGTCGTGAACTCTCACATGTTAATTATTCGACATCAAACATTAAAATCTGCCGAAACCGGTTTGGCTCAGTGGATAGAGCGTCGGCCTGCGGACTCAAGGGTCCCGGGTTCGATTCCGGTCAAGGGCATGTACCTGGGTTGCGGGCACATCCCCAGTGGGAGATGTGCAGAAGGCAGCTGATCGATGTTTCTCTCGCATCGTTGTTTCTAACTCTCTCTCTCCCTTCCTCTCTGTAAAAAATCAATAAAATATATTTAAAAAAAAAAAAAAACATTAAAATCTTCCTTTCTAATCTGATCAATATGCATGTCAAATTATTTTCTCTCTCTCTCTCTCTCTCTTTTTTTTTTTCTCAAAGGATTACTTATTTCTCTTGCCTGTAGGCAATAATCTCCTTAGGGTCCTCTGCAGTAGCGCATATTGAGCCACCAGGGGGCGTGCGTCCTCCAGCACATCATTACCAGGCCTGTCAGTAAAATACAGCCCACAGTATTTTCCCAAGATCCAGAAACATAACCTTATTCTTGTCACAGCTAAAAAAAAAAAAAAAATGAAATGCCGAATTTACATAAAATTATCAAAATATGTTTTATCTCAATTTTCAGTAACCCCCAGCAGACCAACTTTTACTCTTTCAATAATTTTTCTATGAAAAATATAGCAGCAAATCATGCCAATTCCATTTTACCTATCAATCAAATGGTAATTTTCATAATGTGTGTTACCATAGCACCCACAGCCTGTGATATTCTGCCACTTCTGTTTTCTTAATGTCGGGGTCCCATTGCAGGTAAGCAATCAAGGATTCCTCTAGGGGACTGGAGAACAAGGAAAGGAGTGTGTAAAGGGGAACCCGAATAATCACCTCAGTGATGGGTTGACAACACAGAATCCACCGACGACTCCACCCCCTCACTTTAAAGATAAGGAACCAAGTTTTTAAACTAGGAGTGCATTATGCGAACTGAGTTTGCGAACACAGCCCACCTGGAAAACTTCAGCTCAATAATGACTGACAGTAAGTGACAGTTTCCCCCTGACAGCGCCTCAGAGTTCCTCCCTAATTAATTCCTAAAACACTCCTTCAGCAATGTGTCAGCTTTATTCTTTAAAAGAAAATCCAAGAGAGATCGCAGGCAAAGCGTCTTTCCTTTTTCTCTTAAAACGAAAGCAGAGTTAAACATACAAAAAGGGGCTCTTCTTGTCATCTAGGCTTGTGGGTAGAACATTTGGTCATGACCTTCTGTAACATCCTCAGTCAAAGGCATTGTGTAGCAATAGACCTGCATTCTCAGGTACTTCAGGTTTTTCCATTCGTTGTGGACTGACAGGATCATAGACACATGAAGTAGCCAATGATCAAAACATAAACACTTAAAATGTTCAAGTTTAGGGTGTGGGTAAGTTATGTAAGCATTGTAAAGAAAAGATGTACTAAATATTGAATCTGATAACTGTTACCAAAATTATAACCAACTCCGGATTATTTAAAGAAACTTTGCTCTGAATCTTCTAATTGGCTCACTGATTCCAAGGGTTGCGATGCACTTTTCCTGTGTATGATAAGATCCCTAAGCATCAATATATATCTAGTAAAAGCCGATAGGAGAGGAAGAACTGGGAGCCCTATAATTCCACATCTCTAAAAGGCCGCAGGCAGAGGCCTCTAAGAAAAGTCATCACCACACCACTAGTTTGTCATCTTGGAGAAGCGCCTTGAGCAAAACTGACCCTCACTTGGACAAAATCTGGCAACAATCCGTATGGACTTATATGCTTACTGAATGCTTTCTTGAGGTAGATTCTTAGAGGAGATCGCTATCCTTCGGGAAGCTGTGAATTGGATGTATTTCTAGTACATAATAGGAAAATCAGTATAATTAAGCATGTTAAATTTGAAGGAAACTATTATTTCAACTCTTGGTGATCAATGATTATATTTTTTATCATATAGAATGGAAATAACACCATTTATTAATTCTTTAAAGGAGGGATTGTTGGAGTCAAGATTAAGACCAACCTACTTGGTGAATTCCTTTTAATAGAATGTGATTAATGACTGTCTATACCTTTTTGCAATGAGAAAGAAGTCCGACGTCTGCTATTACTTGTGAACATGAAAATTTGCTATGAGCCTCCCATCCCAGGTGGCGTTAGGTTGTGTGCAGCCAATTGGGAAACTAGGAAAAAATACTCCTATTTTTCTACTATATTTGGTCTAATTATTCCCGAGTACAGAAGACATTTCATTCAAAATGCATAAAGTCATCTGAGATGACTCACAATCACTCCAAACTCATCTAAAAGGCGAGTTATCTGGATCTTCATGTCCATCTGTAAAACTGGTGGGATAATGTTTGGGAACAAATATAAAAGCCTCACTAGTTTCCCTAGAAATGTGACCAGTCACTTGGCTTCATAGGTTTAGCCAGTGGTCTCTGGGAACGTTCTCTGGGTGACTTCTTCCCAGACAGGGCCTATTCTGGGTCCTGTTTGGGGGACCCTCACCCTGAGACCTAAGGCTGAAAGTGATGGCTGCTAGTTATCAAAATACATTTTTGAGAAGTTTAGTAACAAAAGGAACATGAGCCCAACTGACTGCAGTGGAAGAAGAGTTAGAGTCTCACATATTCAGTGAGGAGATGCTCCCTGAGAGCTTTTCATGTCAATGGCGTTTCTTTCTGGACCCGATGACAAACCTCTTTTCCTGTCTTGGAAAAAAGATGGGCTGTAGCTATGGCTAGGAAAGGTGATTTTACAAAATCCCAAAACAATTAAAATATAAGGTGGACTTTCTGCTCATGTTGTGCAGAAAGAGATTAAATCTCTCTCTGGCTTCCTGGTGTCCTTGAAAGCACACAAGGAAAGGCGGTGAACATTCAAACCTGCATTTCAAATTCACACAAACAGACAAAAGATCAGGAAACAGGAGATGACAAAGCCTTCATGTGTAGCCTTACCCTACTTTGAGAACCTGGTGAAAGCTCCTGGCCTTCACTAGGAAAAAATCTATTTGCATGTGAATAAGCAAACCTACAACCTTTACATACAATTCCATGAGTTTCTCCGAAGTCCTAAAATTATCATTGAATTGAAGGCCTTAACTTAATGAGCCTTTATTGAAAATTTTATGGGAAAAGTCAAATGAATTCATACCCTGTGCCTAGTGAATTTTGGCTCAGATTCAAAGAAAGAAGATATTAATATCCTCCTTCCCTCCTTCCCTCCCTCCCTCCTTTCTCTCTCTCTCTCTCTCTCTCTCTCTCTCTCTCTCTCTCTCTCTCCCTCTCTCTCTCCCTCCCTCTCTCTCTCTCTCTCTCTCTTTTTCTCCCCCCTTGCTTTCCCTTTGTCTTCCATCAGAGAGGAGCTACATGAAAGATGATCTCAGTGTCAAATCAGTAGAACAACAATTTTGGCAAATCATTTTACATTTCACAAATCACTTTCTCATGTACAATAGCTATGGCCTATTGACAACATACCTTGTGTTTCTCCCTTATCTGTAATTTTGATAGCAAACATGCATCAAGACTGTTATTATTACTAATTTTCTAGAGAGAAGATGGTGGCTCAGAGAGAGTGCACAGCAGAAATAGGTCAAAAGTGCATGTCTCCTAACCTTTCCTCACATGCTCTTCCCACAACATGGGGTGGCATAAGAAATACTCATCCAGTGTTTAAGCAGGTTCTTACTGGAGAACTTGGGTGAACTATTTTTTGATGGCTTATCACTTAGAAAAGTATGGTTAATAGATAGGCACATAAATATTGATATAGAAATAAGTTATCATGTTGAGCATTTCAATTTGTTGCTCTGTCTTAGAGGGGTTACATAAAGTCTGGCGTAAAAAGAGGGATTTCATGTTTCTCGATACCTATGATAGTATGTTTTATTCCTAAAACTTGAAAACGAAGCAAGCTGCAATCTAACCATCTAGATACAAGGATGATGCCCAGCACCGTCTGACTAAGAGAACCCAGGGCAAAGCTCTGCAGATCACACACCAGGCAGGCTGTCTTGTTCTCCCCTGTCCCTCACCACTGATTTCAGAAAACAGCTATTACGCTTATCCTTGGCATCTTATTCTGTCTATGTTATGCAATGCTTATAAAGTATCCAGAAATCGAAGGCTGATATTTGGTGTTTCGCCCAGTCTGAATCATTTGCTTAAAGAAGTAAACATTGTTCATGGGAAATACAAGATAAAATTATATCTGGCCATTATTGTGTGGCTCTGATACACACACACACACACACACACACACACACACGGATAACTGAGGTGGACACTGCTTTATGTTCTTGATATTTATTTAAGGTAACACTTCTCAGAAAACAGACTTGGGATATAGACTTGTTATCAGTTTGAAGAAACATGATTTTATTAGCCTTATCACGTCAGCTGTTCTTAGGTAATATAAAGGCAATGTAGGCAGAACCCAACCTAGTCTAAGTGAAATTGAAGCATATCTAATGGTTGCTGACACTTTGCCCTCAGAATTATCCTTTGACAAAGCTAATGGTTGTGGTCACAGGTAGACTGTAGATGAATGTGGCCTCTCCAAACCAAGGCCCTTCAGGGCTTCTATGAAGGAAGCGTGGAAAACTACCAGCCATATCTTCAAGGTTACATCAGTGGAAAGAAGCAACAAAGCAAACCAACATTATGTAAGGAAGCAAAACCACCAGGAGAGGCTGGGCACAAAAGCCTGCCACGCGCGCTGTACCTGTACAGATGAAACTGGAGAGTCCCCCGTAGATGACTTCATCGTTGTCGGGCAATATAAACGGACACCTCGTCTGAACCTCCAAACAGTATTGCTTGCAAGGAATTGTCTTTCTGCAGTTTAACTGTGAGACTTCAAAGTACTGGGAACACAGCCAGGCTTTGTAGACAATCTGGAAAAATAGAGAGAGAGAAGAGAAGAATCAAAAATAGGGAGGAATGACAACAGTCTGCCTCTAATGAAGAACATGCTGTGGTTTAAGTGGACTGTAAGAAAACTCTCATTTCGAACCAACATATTTACCCAATATCAGCTGCAAGTGATAAAAACGTAGCAACACAAGTCTGCAATAGAGCAAAACAGTATTTGCTTAACCCCTTAAGAGAACACAAAAGTAATATGACGTTGGATGTGATGTAACGCATTTGAAAAACAGTGGAGGTGAGCAGGACCTGAAGTTTTCCAAATCCAGTGATATAGAAAGTGAAGGAGATCACGGGCAGTGCCCATACATGGTTATTTACTGCAGTGTGCCTGGTGACTCCGCTCTCCCAGCATGCATTCCCCCGGCTATGTTTCCAAAGGACACTAGATGGCGCTGAGTCCTCGACGACGGCCCCGCAGATCCAGAAGTACAGAACTAGTAGCGGTGAATATTTATATTTATGACTCACATCAAATGCATTAAATATCTTATCCTCCGAAAGCCCGGAAACACCCAGCTAGGTCAGCCTTAGCATGCTGTGATGCTACAGGAAGGAAACTCATCAGAACCACAAATTGGACCTTTGAGATACTGTGTGATCCACATGAACATTTCTTCTTATTTATTTAATTTCATAAAATGTGAAATGATTATGGCTTCATTTATATCTCTTTGTTTTTGTTGGTATTTAGGAAAATAGATATTGAAAAAATGTATTTTTCTAATATAAGGAAGTAAGCTGAACATAAACTCAAATAAAATAATGGCAAAAGTAACCCATCTACAGCAGAGATCTCGGTGATTCGGGGATTTCCCAGACTCTTGGCACCAGTGGCTTCTGTGTACCTGTTTCTAGGGTTAATAATATTCCGGTGATATTTCTGTCAGTTATGTCCACAAGACAAGTGAATGTTTTACAGTTAAATGCACACTAAGGGATTATAAATACTTGACAATAACAGCAAGAATGATAGCTGGTATTTAGCAATTTTATACTCTGCTCTAAGAAAGTTATATACATTTTTCCACATGCAATTCTCAGTACACACACAGAAGGTAACTATTAGTCACATTTTTCATACAAATAATAATTAGTAATGGAAGTAAGCAGAAGATCCAGAATTCAAACCCATATTCTGTAGGATTCCAAATTCTGCACTCTTCATAATTACGTTTAATTAGGAATGGTTTTCAAAAGAATTTAAGAAATCACAAGAGATTGATCTTGCAGATTAATCTGAAATCAGCACTGAATTGCATGTACCCAGTCAGTGTCCCTTTGGTCTAAGAAAGATTGTATTGAATTTTTATTTATAATTTTTTACTGATTTGATCAAAATAAAGCTTTATTATTTGATCAAAGGATTTTCAGTGGCGATAAAATGGGATGCGTATGAATTCAGCTATAACTTTAGATACCTAAAGTAATTTTATTTGCTGTCGCCATTGGCTCATAATCACCATATAATCTGATGGAGACATATACAATAATCAGTATTTTAATAGGTCTTTTGAACAGATCTTACCATAAAAATACGCATTGGAAACTGCATTAGAAATAATACTACTGTAGCTGAGGAAGCCCCTAAGATTCCTTAAATTTCAACTGGGAAGTGGGGTGGAGTGTGTGGGTGAGGGACATGAGGTGGCTGTGCTGTGGTGCCATGCCCGCAGAGAGAGGCTAACACCATCAGCCTCAGGACAGAGGGGGAAAAAATGCCACTGTACTTTGGGGAAGTTGGAGGTATTTTTTCAAAATACCATTAGTATTTGTTCAATATGACATAATATGGGATGTGATAGATGACATTTACGATACAAACTGAGCTGTCATCCAAGAATGGTAGGTGTCTGTTTTTCGAGCCCTGGTTTAGACTTCCTTTTCTAGGTACTAGAGGAAGTTGACTATGTTTATGTATACAGTTCTAGCAACAGTACAATTCCATTACAAAGAAAGCTTACATTCTGCTCATTTGGATTCTAAAGATTAGAGTCATCTCTTTTCTCTTAGGGAATGGCCCTGTGTAATTCCAGAAAATTACATGTACGTATTTTTTATGGGCCAGACTGCTCTCCATTTGTTCTCCCAGTTCAATTTTGCAAAATTGTTCTAATTAAAATGGCTTATGACTATGAAGTCACCCGTAAACTCTATCTTAAGAAACAATGTCTCCTCTCTCACAGGTGATGGGGTATCTCATGTTGAAGTCTCTCGGGATATATGCACATCCTCTTTTTATTCAGTCTCCTTAGCATTGTCTGGTGGGAAGAGATCCATTTTTATTCTGGATCCTTAAATGCTATGTCAGCTATATTTCCTTTGCAGATTTTTGGCTTAAACAAGTCATCAAATCAGTTTTTATAAATGTCATGTTGTAGTCATAAAGAAAGCGATTATGATTTGCAGAGCCACCAGCAGAATTCTGGATCTCCCATAGCAACCTCTCTGGCCAGGTTTCATTACATTATCAATTCTTTTGATCCAAATCCTAGACTTTTGAAATGCAATAGAATATTCCTCATTTGAGTCTTAAATATTTTCTAAAAGTTTAATTCCAGGGATACAATATGTCTGAAAGCAACCAGGGAAAACTTTGTGGACAGAAAAAGAAAAGTGAGGTGCTCATTGTTGCTTCAATAGGTGAGGGAATTGTTGCTGTGTGCTGATGTTGATAGCTTTCAAATGTGAAATTAGACGATAAAGACAAGAGACAAAATAGACAGGTGAATATTGGTATGAAGAAGGGCTTTCTTGACAGTGGTACAAAAATAAAATGGGCTGACTTGTGAGGTCCGGAGTTCTCTATAACTGGAAAAAAGTCTAATAGAGTTTAGAAAACTCTTTTCAATATGCTGTGAAGAAGACTCGTGTTAGGAGGGTGAGAGAACTAAATGGTTCTGATATAATTTCTAATGCCCTTTTGCAAGAGGTTTGAGAGAGGGAGGCTGAGAAAATGTTTTGAATTGGCAGAAAGCTAAAGAAACAAAATAATTAGTTTTTAAAAGTACTAAGGCATTTTCCAATTAAAAACAAACATGGTGAGAAGCAAATATAGTAGTCTTAATTCATAAGAACTCCAAACTAACAAAGAAGGTCAGCAGTCTGTTTTATAACGGCTTAGCCTTATCCTATAGTGAGTAACATTGGGCACTCGCTTTTCTCGGTGTCACTGAATGGTGTAAATGATTATAAGATGCTTAACAATTATTTTGGAAAGGAACAAAAATGTGTGTAAGGTAATGGGCAAACGACATCCACCCACACCCCTCATTAAGGGTTTGTACCATGTTCTACCTGTAGAAGTGGTTATGTTTGCCAGGGCTCTTCAAATATACCATTCACCCACACGCTCACCTCTGTGCTTGGAAATGACTATTGACTATATAAAAATGTGCTTGGAGAGCTGTCCATTTTTCAGTAATAGAGACTATTCTTCAGTTACAGTTAAGGAAAGGAACAGACTAAATTGTAAAAATGGCCTGAGAACATTAATTTTACTTAAGACTTGGGTAACAATTTTCCCTTTTCTCTCAAAGATTTTCTCATTTGTTATTTTTCTTCATGAAATCCTTGCGATGGGTTTGATAAATATTTTAGGAGAGAAAAAAAAACAGTCACAGAGAGATTACAGTAGCAAACAAACAGAATCCAGTGTATGAGCCCTATTGTCATCGGGAACTCTTGTGACTGGAACTCCTCTAAGAAGATATAGGAAGTGCTGACTGTAGAGAAAAGTCTGGGCCTCTGGAGTCACCAAGGCATGATGTTCCGGAGTGCGAAGGCCCTAGAGACTGCCCACCCGAGTCTCATGTCACAGTGGGAATTGGGAGCTGGAAGGACTACAAGTGGCACCCCCACATCCCTGACACACAGCCCATTGTTTTAACAACGCACCACGGTATTTGGAAGGTACCATCTGGGTATTATCCATTCCTAACATATCTTTTTTTTATTTTTTTATTCCTGCAAGTCACTTCATTTCAGGCTGCTCTTTGGAAACTTTCCCTGGCAATTCTGCACAGTGGGCTGCAATGCGCCACCACCCCACTTGGCCCTGGGGCTGTATTCCCTCGGGGACAAAGGCCTGTTGGAAGATGTGGGTGAGGAGAGCAGAGCTCGAGGAGAGGAGGGGTAATCCAAGGGCCCTGCGGTCTCCTGACTTTATTTCCAGACTCTTGATGAAGACTGTTTTTTGTTTGTTTGTTTTTTTAGGATAATTTCCAGGGTTCAGCAAAGTTTTGGTTGTAATGGCACAAACATGGTTGAGTTGAAAATTTCGGGAGATAGAGAGAGGGAGGGTTCTTTGCCTGCCTCTGACTAAGGGAAGTGATGTTAAATGGTGGGGCTGGCTCTGGAAGGGAATGCTTTAGGTGGATATAGGATGAACCTGAAATAGTCACCATTTTGTTCATTAGAAGTTTCCCAGTGCCCTGAATCATCACGGTTGCAAGAATTACCCTTATAAGTGGCCTTCACTATATTCTGTGTCAGGTTCTCATGACCTCCCTTGGCTCTGGACGTTCCATATGACTGAGGTTAATGCTGTGGATAGCCTTTCACAAAATGCCTAAGATTGATATTTTTCCAATAGAGGCTCAGGTTCTCATTTCTTTTAAATATATTGCCTCCCTCCTCAGCATTTATATCTATGGCTTAGAGCTAGGTAGAGTATTTATGTTTCAAATATATGTTAGCCTACTGACAAAAATCATGTTGGTTACAAATTTTTATTATTAAGAAAAATGGCAGGTAGGGAAAATGGCTGTCATCGTCACATTAGAAGGTTGAATTCCCTTTTCCCCCCAAGTATTGGTAAAGGCTGACTCCTTTTACATTTATAATGTGTTGATACATTTTATGAGATCCTTTTCTGTCAACTCTAATGTGTGAGTGGCCTGAGTTTTGAGTGCGTGGGTGAAATAATTGGTTATGTAAGCAGTAGTCTGCTATAGCAACTGCCTCGGGC